ACAGCCCGATTCGTAACCACTACGCTACATACTTCATAATAAAACATTAAAAAAAAAAAAAAAAGGATGTTGAACCAGTGATATTGTTATAGGAAGACTAACAGCCCCCATTTAAACTAGGTATCCACTGAGTCCTTTCAGCCCCATTTCACCCTGCCCCCGCCTTCCTTACCCCCGCTTGGAAAAATAATAAACTTGTTACAGAAAAACCACGAAGGTCAGAAAGACCCAAGGACACCTGAACAAATAAGATAAAACTTACAAATAAGATAAGGCTTTATTGGTGGGTTTACTCCCACTTACAGGATAAGGATCTTATGGAATTTACCACGTCATGTGACAAGACAAGTCTGTTTCTTTTAACCGCTCTGGGTTTCTAGTATAAAACCCTGTTCCCCTGCTCGCTTCGGGGTCTTAGTGATCTAGGCTGGAGCTAACTCTGGTCGCCGGAAATAAACTTTGCTCTTTAAGATTTTCGAGTTGAGTTCTTTCTGACTCGCGCTGCCGGAACAATACCATTGACAAATAAAATAAATCTCGACTAAAAACCACCTAGGATGGCGATCCTACACATTTCACTTCAAACGTAATATTGAGGAAGTCCTAGACTCCTCTAGCCTGGAAATAAAGCCTTGGCCAGATCCCAAATCCACGGAAGAAACTGAAACTCATGGTCATAAGTTCGCCGCTGGATGTTTTCGCTGGGAATGCCTTCTCTGCTGCACCTAACGTCCCAGAAACCGGAACCTGGGGTGTGCGTTTTCGGTCGGCAGAGATATGTAGTTGCACTTGCGCCTTGTTTGTCTGTCAACTGTCTGCGTGTTCCTCTGGCTCCGCAGTTTCCAGCGGGCGCAGCGCCCACTATTTTGCGCATGCTCAAATGGGAATGGGCGCTTCGCTCAAAACTCGCGAGATTTCTCGCCGGAAGGAGTAACTAGCGCTTGGTGCGAAAACTTTGTTACTCACCTGTTGCTGATATAAGCAGAGCAGAGGCTTGATGTAATATTGGGACTCGGCTTGGGGACCAGAATCACCCAGGTGTGCCTCTCTGGCTGAGGAAAAGGGGGACGGTTTTATGGGGATATTGGGCTAGAGGTTGGGAGCCTGAGGAATCCTAAGAACTTTGTGGCCGCGTTGATTAAAGTCACGCTGACTCTTGGAGGCCATTTTGTCTCCAACAGGCACCGGTAGTTTCTGCAGCTAGTGAATTTCAGGGATTATCCTGAAATATTTGACTTTGATTTCATTCCTTCTGTAATTATTGGATTGGGATACAACTACCGATTCAAAAACAGCGGGTTTATTTAAATAAAATGACCTGTGGTCTAACGGGCAGTTAGGGAATCTGGAGAGGGAGCCCTCGTTTGTAACTACGGGGCCAGGATGGTCACTTCGTCCTCGTCCTCTGTTGTGCTTCGTCCAGGCTGAAACCATCTCGGCACCTGGTTCCTCAGAGCCCGGTTTCAGGGGGAGAGTGGCCGCAGACCACAGCTGATTTCTGCACAGACGGTGGGTGGGGTGCAGCTGGTCACCCACCACTTTCTCTGGTCTCATCCGGTGCATCCCTGCCCAGCACAATGCTTTGCAGCCCCGCAAGGCCCGTGTCCCCTGGGAGTTAGTGAGAACTGCAGAGTCGGGCCTCCCAGGGTCCCTAACCTCAGTCTCAACCATCCAGGTCTCCCAGTCTCTCCCCGCTGCACACTCGTCCCCCTCTGTTTGTATTTGGTTTGGGACTGGCATTGACCCTGCAGACAAGACTAGGAATGCAGTCTGTGAGGAAGCCAAAAACCTATCACCTCCCCCCCATCGCCCACTCTGTTAACCCTGTTTCTCCCCCATCCTTTTTACATTTCAGCTCTCCAGTGTGGTCCCCAGTCAAGTGGGAGCCCTGAGTGACCATCTTGCATATCCATCCGTAAGTCATCAGGAAAGACTTCAAGTGTTCTGCCTTTGTGTGTGGACCAGACATTACACGTCTCCTTCCATAGTGCCCAGAGCTCAGCTTCTACTCCGGACCCTCTTCCTGAAGTGACCTTTGGTGATAGTGTCCTAAACCACCATAAGGGGGAGCAAAGAAATGGTGAGTTCTGTAGGGATTTGGTGCTGAGTGGGATTTAATTGATGGAAGTGGGTTTGGGTTTATGGACAACTGGGTCATCCTTCCTCATAGTGGGTGAAGCTGTGCAAGAATTTGAGGGGGATCACTGATGTGTGAGAGGCCGTGGTTCCTCCGTGAGGAATAAAGGTGGCACAGAAGGCCCAGGGCCTGAACCCTAGCAGGACCCTTAGATCCTGTTCCTCTGTCACTAGGCCCTTCCTCTGTGCAGATGTCAGCATCTAGATGCTGGAATCCCTTTCTTTATGTGACTTGTGGCTGACACCAGGGAGCATTACCATCCCCCCTGGGCCTTTGTGCTCTGTGTTAGAATGAGAGTCTCCTGACCAGACCTGAAACCTGGAACAGCTGTTGATGTTGAATGCTAGGACCTGGCCCTCCAGATCCAGCCCTGTTTGAGCTCTCTTGACTTCTCCCAAGTATGGAAGCATTTTCTGGGCAGTGTTCACGTTTTAAATTATTTTTTGGTAAATGTGTATTGGTAAGAAATTATTTGCAAACCTTGTAATTTTAACAAAGTTTCATTTATGTCCCCCATTTAAATTTTTTCGTATTGTATCTGGTTTTTAATTTTCTATCTAGAAAGTCATTATCAAACTCGAGTTTCTTCTAAGTTGTCTTCTTGAAGTATTATAGTTTTGCATTCATATTTAGGGCTTTAATCCATTTTGAGTGAATCCTTATGTAATATCATCTCTGTCTAGTAATATCTCTGTCTAGATCTTTGGTGTTTTTTGCTAGTGGCTGTTCCAGGACCGTTTCAGGTGTTCCAGAATCATTTCTTGAAAAGGCTATCCTCTTTTCCTTGAACTGCCTTTGGTCCTTCCTCCAGGTCACACAATTCTGTTTTGGTCTCTCTTTCTGGACTTTATGTATTTCCGTGGATGCATTTGTTTAGTGTTTTACCAAAACATCAATATCGTGATTATTGTAGCTTCAGAGTGTAATGAATTTGCTGATAGTCACAAAATGAATGCTGGGATTTTGATTGGGATTCTATTGAAGGGGATAGATCATCTTGGGTCGAATTGGCATCTTAACAATATTGAGTTTTCCCATGCAGGCACATGACATAATTGTGTTATTTAGGCCTTTCGGTTTGTTGATTACAGTTTTGTCCTTTTCCTCATCTGTATCATTTGCATATTTTGCTACATTTACACCATTTTGTTTTTGTTGTTAACAATGTAAATAGTGTTGTGCTTTTTCAATTTCAAATCGCAGTGCTTTTCTATTGGTCCACAGTAACAGTTGGCTTTCTGTTTTTGACAAAATACCACCTATAGAATACATAAATAGACATTTCTCTTTAAAGTAGGAAAACGATCAATAATAACTTACTCAATAACTAATAATTTACTCATGCATCTGCCCATAGCAGGCATATGTTAACATCTTTTATATACTAGACGAAGAGCAGTGTTTAATATAAATATTATCCGTAACATTTAAGAACTGTGGATATCTGACCTACTCACAAAACCTTCTTCAAGTGACATTTTAGGCTGTAGAAAGAATCAGTGCACTCCCACCTGTAAGGAGAAAGACTACAGCTATGCCTTGTTGTCAAAAACAGCGGGAACTTTCATTGAAAAAACTATCCAGTGGTCTGATGAAAGGAGATGGGGATAAGATTCTTAGGATTCATTAATCAGTAATTTTTATCATGACTAATTGCGACTGC